TCGGGGGGGAGTGGGGGGCGGGTAGGGGGCGGTTGAGTGGTGAAAAATGGTTTGAGGGACACATGATGGAAATGTATCCCCCGAATCCTATCCTTTATCTTCAGATAAAGTACAAATAGCTGCATGCACCAGGACGAGTGACACCCAGTGTCAGTGCAAGAATGGCACTTACCAGGATAAGGATTCTCCTGAGTACTGCCAACTGTGCAGCCCAAGGTAAGACACGAGAGCCCGCCGTGGCCATCTGCGTATCTTCATGCTCCGGCTGCAGCACCCCCTTCCCACCCCTCCTCAGCTCGGCCTCCCTTTGGCCAGGCTGACCTTCCCACTGGGCACAGTGGCCGCTAATCAGGGCCTATGAGCCTGTCAGTGGCCCATGCAAAGCTATAGGTTTTCTTAATATCAGTAGGAAGGGATTGTGTACAATGCAGCCATACTTGTAGTCATCTTTATAGCAATTCAATCACAAAATGGTTTTTGTTTTTTGGGGTGTTTTTTTGTTTTGTTTTGTTTTTGTTTTGGTGCCGGCCGGACCCCATGAACACGTAAGTGTCCACAGTCAAGTCATAATGACCCGAGCCTGTAGCTCCTTCAGGGGTTCCTCAAACCCCTGCACCAGCTCCGCCACCTTCCCCCAGGGCCCTGCTCCCTCAATAAGACTGTGTTTTCCCTGTTATTGGGATTTAGGGGCCAATAGTAATTTGGTCTTTTACAGTGTGGCTGTGCTTGGTGGGGACAGTCAACGGGTGGAGGACAAGAGGGTCCTTGTATTGAGGGTTGACTGCAGCGGTTCTCAACCTGTGGGTTGTGACCCCTTTGGGGGTCGAACGACCCTTTCACAGGGGTCGCCTAAGACCATTGGAAATCAGATATATAATTACATGTTGTTTTTGTGATTAATCACTATGCTTTAATTATGTTCAATTTGTAACAATGAAATTGGGGCTCACCACACCATGAGGAACTGTATTAAAGGGTCGCGGCATTAGGAAGGTTGAGAACCACTGGACTAGAGACTGAGGCTCAGCTTGTGGCTGGAGTGAGCTACTTCCTCACTCGTGCTCCCCCTGCAGGTCAGGGACGCTCAGTGCAGGCCTTATAGAGAAGGCCCCCCTCCTGTGGGTACAGCTCTGAACACTTAACTGGAGCCCTCGGGGGCTGAAGGTGGCATCAGGTCCCTCCTGAACCCGGCAAGGGGTGAGAGGGCCCGTCGGGCAGACAGGAGAAGGCTGTTCTTTTTCCACTCTCCCGCCAGGGGACACTGGGTGGGTGTTGCTCCCTCTTTCTCTTCCTCTTACCCCTTCACATGCTCCCTATGTTTGAACCTAGGTGCCCTGATGGCAAGGTCAAGGCCAGGGACTGTGGCCCCTTCAACAACCTCGAGTGTGTGGACCAAAAATCAGGTATCCAGGCCCATGGGGAGGCCCCAGTTCCTGGAGAGCCAGTGACCACCAGCCTGGAGGCACCCACTGCTCCCTCTGTCTCCTCAGGCACACCATGGTTGGGGATCGTGCTTGGGCTTGTAGGCCTTGCCCTGCTGGGCACACTTGTATATTATTGCTACAGGGGCCGTAACCATACAGGTGAGTTTGGCGGGAGCGATGGGCGGGTCCTGGCACTCTCTGCTGCTTCCCTCACTTCCTGCTTCAGCCCCTCCGTCTCCCAAATCTCCGGGTCTTTCTGGCCTGGCTGTGATCTTGTTCCCTGGGATCACCCCTACCCCCACCTCACGTGCACCTGTGGAGGGCCGGGGTCCTATCAGTCCCCCTGTCTGATGGTCACCTCCTCTCCTGCCAAGTCGGGGAGGGCAGGCCAGTTCTTCACGTCTGCAGGGCCCTCAGCCAAGGCAGAGGGTGGTCAGTGCCTCAACTGGGTGACAAGAGTCAGGAGGAGAAGGTCGGGAGGGGGGCGTGGTTTACAGCTTTGGTCAGAGCAGAACCCAACAGAGATTTGATGTTTACTTTTACTTCTTTCCCCCCTTTCTTCCCCTTCCTGAGGGTGTCCCAGAGTTGGATTGCCCTTCCCTGTCACCAGGCCCAAGGCACCTTGTCAGTGTCTGAGCCCCAGCCCATGCCCTTCCCAGCAGGGAGACCCTGCAGAGGGGGCCTCCCACACTAAGGCAGACACCCTTCTCTTCTAGGTTCTGGAGCGGCCATCAAGAGCAGGAGCAGAGTGAGTGGGTTTCTCCAGGACCTGTGGCGTCAGGTGGTGAGGAACTGCTTCCTGCCCAGAATAGGGCCCTGGGTGGGCGTGGCCCCAGTTTGTCCTGTGCTGCTCTCCCCGGCTCTCTAAAGTGGCCCTGTCCTTCCCACTGTTTGTGACACCCAGACCACAGCCCTGCACTCTGGGCTGTGGGGGTGTCAGGTGCTGAGCCCCCTTAGCACAGCACCAGGGTCCTGGTGCTAACAGCAAAGTCCTGGATGGGCTGAGCCTCTGCCAACCTGAGAGGAGGGAAACCTGGGAGGGGCGGGGCAGCAGAACCTACGTGTCCCCTGAGACCCTTCAGGGAGCCTGGGTGTGGACTCCTGAGTCAGCTCTTTTCCTTCCCAAGGGCTGGTTTGGTGTCTTACGAACCCCAGGAGAGGCTGAGGCTCTGGACAATGCCCGCAACCTGGCCAAGAGCGACAGAGACTCATTGTCCTCTGAGCAGGAACAGGAAGAGCTGGCAGGTGGCCTGGCGCAGCCTGCAGGAGAAACCCAGCTTCTACTGGTGAGTGGGGGCGGCCATGCCAGGTCCTGGCCTTTGTGCTGGCCCAGGAATGTGTCAGAAGCAGGGAAAGGCCAGTGCCAGTGCTGGTCAGGACTGCTGTCCTGGGGAAGGATGGTACAGGGAGATCAGGACCTGAGGGGACGGGGCTGCACTGCAGGGAGCTGTTAGCTCTGTGGAATGCCTGGGTCTTCTTATCTGTCTAGATGTCACAATATCCCCGAGTCCGGAACAGGCAGGCACAGGATGGCGCCCTCACCGTTGTTGACTGGCTGAATGAGGGCTGCAGATAGTCCACTGTGTAGTTGTAAAATAATTTAGTAAGCCATTCCTCGCAACAACAGCAATATCAGACTTATTACAAAATTCTTATTATATAAAAGCCTATGTGACTGTTGCTATGACATGAACTGACCACCAGGGGGAAAACACTCAATGCACAGGAAGAAAGGCTGCAGGAGGCTCCGGGGCAGCAGAACCTACGTGTCCCCTGAGACCCTTCAGGGAGCCTGGGTGTGGACTCCTGAGTCAGCTCTTTTCCTTCCCAAGGGCTGGTTTGGTGTCTTACGAACCCCAGGAGAGGCTGAGGCTCTGGACAATGCCCGCAACCTGGCCAAGAGCGACAGAGACTCGTCCTCTGAGCAGGAACAGGAAGAGCTGGCAGGTGGCCTGGCGCAGCCCGCAGGAGAAGCACAGCTTCTACTGGTGAGTGGGGGCGGCCATGTCAGGTCCTGGCCTTTGTGCTGGCCCAGGACTGTGTCAGAAGCAGGGAAAGGTCAGTGCTGGTCAGGACTGCTGTCCTGGGGGATGGTACAGGGAGACCAGGACCTGAGGGGACGGGGTTGCACTGCAGGGAACTGTTAGCTCTGTGGAATGCCCGGGTCTTCTTATCTGTCTAGATGTCACAATATCCCCGAGTCCGGAACAGGCAGGCACAGGATGGCGCCCTCACCTTTGTTGACTGGCTGAATGAGGGCTGCAGATAGTCCACTGTGTAGTTGTAAAATAATTTAGTAAGCCATTCCTCGCAACAACAGGAATATCAGACTTATTACAAAATTCTTATTATATAAAAGCCTATGTGACTGTTGCTATGACATGAACTGACCACCAGGGGGAAAACACTCAATGCACAGGAAGAAAGACTGCAGGAGGCTTCTACCACTCCCTGAGAGGATGGGGCCTGGGGGATCCGGCTGAAACCACCTCTCTGACATCCCCCAAGGGGTCCCGGATTGGGAGAGAGCGCAGGCCAGGCCGCGGGACCCCACTGGTGCACGATCCATGCACCGGGCCTCTAGTATGGTAATAAATCTTAGTCTAGATACCTAATCCTATTTGTAGGGTGGCATGTAGAAGTAGAATTTCTGGGCACACACACACGTGCATACAGTTTTGGTTCATATCAGTTCATGAGTTTTAGTATGACATTGAGTGGTAAACCTGTAGAAATATTTAATTTTTATTCCTCAGAAGCTTAGAAAGTCATTCCCCTTAACATAAGATGAAATTCACTAATTTTTTAGAGTTTTTAAATTTACAATGATTTTTAGCATCTAGCGTTGTTATCCAAATGGAATTGACTTGGTGACCTGATGTCACATGAGGAGTCTGACTTGTTCTGAGTCACTGTCTCTTTCCTCCAACCCCATTTCACAATGGATCCTCTCATTCCCTCAGCTTTTGGCTCCTCCTTTATCAGATGTGAAATGTTTACAGACTTTCCTGTTTCCTTTGTTTCTTTCCTGCATCTATGGTGTGCTCTTTTTAACATGTTGGTTTTTTTTTTAATTGAGTTTAGAGAGAGGAAGGGAGATGTATAGACAGAAATATCAATGATGAGAGAAACATTGATGGGTTGCCTCTTGCATGCCCTTTAGTGGGAATCAAGTTCACAACCCCGGGCATGCGCCCTGACCAGGAATACATCCCGTGATCTCTTGGTTCATGGATCAGCGCTCAACCGCTGAGCCACACCGGCCCGGCTACAGTCTGCTCTTTTAAGATAAAGTATAAAAGGAAACAAACCAAAAAGGACAACAATCCCTTGATCGTGATTAATCACTTTTCACATTTTTTAAAGTAGTGCTTATCCATGGTGAGAAAAAGTAAATAGTACAGAAAGGTTCTCAGGGAGTCGTAGACGCCTCCTGCAGTCTTTCTTCAGCCCCCTCCCCCCCACACACACTTTTTTATTTCAGGTAATTATGAGAGACAATTCTTTTTTTTTAAATGATTTTATTTTATTTTTAAACTTTTATTATTTTTTAATTTAAATTTTTTATTGTTTAAAGATGCCCTCACCACCACCCCTACTGTCTGTGTCCATGGGTTATGCTTATATGCATGCATACAAGTCCTTTGGTTGATCTCCTACCCCCACCCACACCCCCCTTCCCTCTGAGGTTGGACGGTCTGTTTGAGCTTCTAAGTCTCTGGATTTATTTTTGTCCATCAGCTTATGTTGTTCATTATATTCCACAAATGAGTGAGATCATGTGATATTTATCTTTCTCCAACTGGTGAGAGAATTCTTTGCTGAAATCTTTGTGCATATGCCATCTATATACAATACTCTACCAAATGAAACTTTTTAATATCTGAGAGTGCACATACCTTGCCAAAATATATTATTTCTATGCATATAAAATTTAGAATTATTTATAAGATTTTCCCCACCCCACCGCCACAAAAGTCATTGGAACATTTTTTAAATATATTACCTTACCTTAATCCAAGAAGAATTGAGATCTTTCAACATTCAATATTTTTCTTATCAAGGAAGATAGCATTTCAGATCAGGAGTTTTATTATGACTCAGTTAAGATTTGTGTTTTTCTTCCGATTAATTCCTGTTTCTACTAAAAGCTGTTTCTTTGTATTTTATGTGTTTTGCGACCCTTACTGGTTGGATCCTGTTGTAATTCTGTTTTCTAATTTATTGTTTCTCGTATGTTTATTAACATTCACCAAGATACGCATTTATTAAAAAAAAATATTTATTTATTTATTTATATTTCAGAGAGGAAGGGAGAGGGAGAGATAGAAACATCAATGATGAGAGAGAATCATTGATCGGCTGCCTCCTGGTAGCCCTCCATTGGGGACTGAGCCTGCAATCCGGGCATGTGTCATGACTGGGCATCGAACTGTGACCTCCTGGTTCATAGGTCGATGGTCAACCACTGAGCCACGCCAGTGGGACACATTTATTTTTAAATATTGTAGCTTATACCTTAGGGTTTTAAAAATTTATAATCATGTCTACAATAATGATTGTTTCTGCCCTTTCCACAAGTCCTGCCTCCTTTGTTTCCAGAACTGACAATGTTCACAGGTGCTTAGAGAAGGCGCGCGTTCGATCTTGACTGGATTTCACTGGGAAGCCCTTCAATACTTCGCCTAAAGGAATGATGTTGACTCTTGTTTTCATATAGAAAATCTTATCGTTATGGACGCAGCCCCCTATTTTTGAGGTGTTTTTACAAAATCAGAATTCATGTTTAATTTTACAAAATGTCTTTTCAGTCTCCATGGAGACAATCTAATAGTTTCATTTCCTTATTTAGATTATCAGTGTGGTACAGTATTAGTGATCAGTGCACCTCCAGCATTGTGGAAGAAGCCTTACTTAGATTTTGCAAAGTGCCCTCATATATAGTCTTTATTTGAGTCCCATACATGTCTCGGAGGGAGTGATTGTCTCCTGATGGGGTGGGTGGGAATGGACTAGAAAGGGCAGGAGGCAGCTGGGCAGGGCGGTGAGAATGTTCCATGTCTTGATTGGGTGATGGCTACTCAGGTGTGTCCAGTTGTCAGAGCTGGAACTGACAGGGAGTGAGCATTACTCTCGGAAACATGGGCCTCCATGAGCACCCAAGGACACAGTCTGAGAGGCACAGCAGGGAGGTTCCTCTTTGTCTCGATGGAGACTGGGAGGGAGGTGGCTGCCCAGGTCACCCAGCTGGCTGATGGTCAGGCTCACTTCTGGAATCCAGGACTCCCGACTTGAACCCAGGCGGTTTTCCACTCTATTTTACAGGGACCGACTGGCACAGACGGGTCTCAGATGAAAAGGAAGCTGCTGGTTCCAGCGAACAACGAGAACCCCATAGAAAGTGAGTGATTTGTTGGGTGCAGTGGAGCAGTGTCCTAACTGCTGTCCGCATAGCTGTTAGGGCAGTACAGAGTCAGGGACGCTGGAAACCGGGGGCCTACGCTGATGGTCACTGGACCGTTAGGACAGTAAATCCCCTCCCCTCCTCTCTCCCTTCACCCCCCTCTTCCCACTGCACACCATCCCATCCGTCACAGCAATGTTCTGTACTGCCCTGTCCTTCTCTCCACCACCTTCCCCCTTCCCTGGCTGCTCAGGGCCGGGCTCACTACACTGTGGGCACCTAAGGGGCTGGTGCTGTCCAGCAGGCCACCACCAGCCCAGGAGACTCCCGAGCACCTGACCTCTGGCTAGGCCAAATTTAAAGAGCTGTAATGATAAACTACAGATCAGATTTTAAATATTAGTACAGAAAAGGAATATAAAATATTCCATTGATAATTTTTTGTTTATTGATTGCCTGTAAATGTAATATTTTGTAAGTACTGAATTAGTACCAGATAGTGTTAAAATGAATATTACCTGTTCCTTTTTATCTTCTTCAATTCAGCTATTAGAAAACTATAAATAAGTGCTCGTGGCTCACCTTATATTTCTGTGGGTCAGTGGTGTGCAGTGCATTCCACACACGTCTCATTGAATCCTCCGCACAATCCCATGAAATGGGTGGGGTTTGCTCTGCTTCCGGGTTAAATTCTTGCTCAGAGTCTCTTTGTGCCCGTCCCACTCTGCCAGTTTGGTGGGTGAGGCCAAGCTGGGTGTGGAGCCAGAGATCGTCCCGCTCCAGCCCTCGGGCTGTGCACAGGTGCGGATGTGGCAGCCCCCGACCTTACCCTCAGGATAAGTGCAGGCTCCGTCCTCTGAGGGCTTGTTGCACTACAGTCTGTCCCACGCTCTGTCTCCGACCACATACTCCTCGCTCGCTCGATCCATGACGTCCATCTCCCCTCCCAGGTGGCTATCAGCCTTCCCTTAAAGCAGAATTCTCTGCTGATCTTGACTCTCCGAAATGCCATGGGCACAAGCGAGGCCCAGACTGGCCTGATTCTAGTCCGGTATTGCTGATGGGAAGCAGGTAAGGGATGACGAGCAGCAGGTAACCACCAGGGGGCGCTCCAGTATACAGCTGCCCTTTTTGTTGTTAATCCTCATCCGAGGATATTTTTCCCATTGATTTTAGAGAGATGGAAGGAAGGAGAAAGACAGAGAGAGAGAAACACTGATGTGAGAGAGACTCTCAATTGGCTGCCTCCCACATGCGCCCTGACCAGGGCCTGGATTAAGCCTGCAACCGAGGTATGTGTCCTTGACTGTAATCGCACCCAAGACCCTTCACTTTGTGGGCCCACACTCTAACCACCACGCCAAACTGGCTAGGTCTACATCTGCCCTTTTTGCAGGGTTTCCTCCACCTCACCTGACAGTCTCTGTGGCTTTTTCCCATCTAGCCCTGAGGGAGTGCTTCTATGAGTTCTCAAGGATCGTGCCCTTTACTCGCTGGGAGCCGTTCATGAGGTTGGTGGGCCTCCCGGAAAATGATATCTCCATCGCCAAAGCACAAGTGTCGAACCACCGGGATGCCTTGTATCTCATGCTGACCACCTGGATCAACATCAAGGGGAAGGCTGCCTCAGTCAACACCCTACTGGACAGCTTGGACACACTGGGGGAAACGAAAGCCAAGGAGGAGATGCAGGACTTCCTGCTGGAGTCCGGAAAGTATGTCTATGAAGTGCGTGAAGAAGGTTCTGCTGTTTCCCAGTGAAAAGAATTTCTTTTGGAGATCAGACCTTTCCTAGTTTATCTTTTCTCCTGAAAGGGAAATAGACTGGACACTACATGCCTGGCCAGTGCGGCTCAGTGGTTGAGCATCAACCTGTGAATCAGAAGGTCATGGATCTACTCCCTGTCAGGGCACATGCCCAGATTGCAGGCTGGATCCCCACCAGGGGCTGTGTGGGAGGCAGCTGCTTGATGATTCTCTCTTACCATTGATGTTTCTATCCCTCTCCCTCTCCCTTCCTCTCTGAAATCAGTAAGCTTGGAGAAATTTCTCTTCAAATTGGTTCATAGGCCAATGCTTAACCTCTGAGCCACACCAGCCAGGCCTGGCACTTTTTTATTCTAATAGACTTCTACTGTTTACTTGTTATTTAATGTTTTGTATAATCCATCTGTGTTGTTATGTGTCCAGGTATTTATGTCTCACTATGATAGGGCTCTTTTTATTTTTATACTTGAAAGTTTGTTCTTGTATTATTATTGTTTATTATTGTACTAGAGGCCCAGTGCACAAATTCATGCATGGGTGGGATCCAGCTGCCCACCCAGATGGGCCAGGCTCAGGGGTGGGGAAGGGGCCATGGTCGGTTGGGAGGTGCTAATCGGCCCCGATCGGGCTGGTTGGCTGCCACAGTGCGTGCCATAACAACTGGTCATTCCGGTAGCTTGGTTTTTATACATATAGATTATTTTCTGCAAACTTATTTTTGCCCCACCCTGTATATATTTGTATATTTATGAAAAACTTTTTGGAAATGTATTTAGTAGGTAGATTGCATTTAGGTTACCTAAATGAGGGAAGTTAACAAAATTGCAAAGGAATCACTGCACCTCTGGGGGTGGTGCTAGTGAGTTCCAGCTCCCTCAGGTGCAGTTTGAGCTTGTCCAGCATTAGAGGACCGGCCACTTTTACCGCAGGGGTGGGGAATGTCTGGCCCTCGGACCCTGTAAGGCCGACAGAACCATTACATGACAGGACAGACATGTATGCTTATCGTCAGCTGCCCGTGGCCCACCTGCCAGTATTGGGGTGACTCCGAGGACAGGCAGCTCCAGGCTGCCTGGGAGTGTGCAGGCTGTGAAAGTGTTAACACACTGTGGCAAAACTACTGTGATCCCGTGATGATGAGATGAGGTGCGATGAGATGATTCCTCGTGATGTGGATGACCTTGCCTCCAATAATTGACAACGATGTTGTCAACTTCTTTGCTGACAGATAACTCCAATCCACCCTTTATCCACACGCCCATGATCAACAATTCTCAAAAAACCTGAATATCAGGTAAATATTAAGGACATTATGGTACAAAGAAAAGACCTCTAGAGCCGATGATACAAATGTTGGATATGTTTCAAATCCAAGATGCAAGATTAGATCGATCAAAGCAAAATAATTGTGTTGCTGGTGACACACCCACTGGATAGTTATTAAAACTTAAGGGTGTGACACCCTACAAATGGCGACTACAAAGAAAAGAAAAGTTAATGCAGAGTGTCAGTCTTTCCAAGAGAAATGGACAAACCATTATTTTTTGTTGTTGAAGTAAAAGGCAAACTCGTGTGCGTTAGCAGTAATGACATAGCCAATCTGGAGCATCAATATAGCTCCAAACATGCTACACTCGCCCTGGCTGGTTTGGCTTAGCGGATAGAGTGTCGGCCCTCGGATTGAAGGGTCCCCGTTTGACTCCAGTCAAGGGCACATACCTCGGTTGCAGGCTCCATCCCTGACCCTGGTCAAGGCCAGTGAGGGAGCGGCAACCAATGTGTGTCTCTCACATCAATGTTCCTCTCTCTCCACTCTCTAAAAAACCAAAGCAAAAAACATGCTAAACTCGATGAGTTGGGAGACCAAATGCATCTGGATAAAATCAATGAAGCACAGACAGGCCTCAGCCAATCTGAAGAGCCGGTTGGGTGGGGGTCCGAAAAGTCGTATACCTCCCCCCCCCCCAATCTATAGGTCTCAGAATTCTTCATTCCAAAGGCCCCTTTTCACTTTGTTGGGGCCATCCCAGAATTCATGAGCAGCACCTGGCAACTTGATCTTGCACAGCCTTGAGACTGCTGGCTTCTCTGCTCAGGGAGTAAAACTGCCCTTTTTTCTTTCCTCTTCCCCCCTCCAGTTCTGCATTCTCTGGTTAGGGAAGGTTTTTTAACCATTTGCTCTCCTGTCCTTGGCTGGGGAAGATAATGGTTTGTTAGTTACAAGCTGCAAATTGCCCACACGGTTTGGCCTTGTTTTAACTTTCCTGTCTCTGCCCTGGAATCCTGTAACCGTTCTTTTCAAAACTTACCATCGCCCAGAGTCGACTGCACTCCAGACTGACCTGAAAAAGCAGTTGAGAGTAGTAACATCATCAATACCAGCTACACACCTCACCAAATACATCTGGGTGAGGAGGGTAACCTGCCTCTCATGATGGGCGCCTCACCAAAGAGAAGCAGGGAGCTTAGTTAAATGATCAAATATAGCGGGCTAGTTTTTAAGTTGTTAATTTTGTATGGCTCACGAATGATGTTATAAGTATCCACATGGCCCTTGGCAGAAAAAGGTTCCCCACCCCTGCTCCACAAGAGTGCTTCCATGTGGTTGTTGTGTTTGAATATTTATAGATGGATTTTAACAAGTGAGAAGTGGTGCGGCCCTGTGTCAGCTGCTCCCGACCTGGGCATCCAAGCCTGGGTCTCCTTTCCCTCATCTTTGGATGTGTGTGAGGAGGGTGGGGGATGTGCCAGGTACCTTCTAGGTTATGTGCCACTTCCAGTCATACTGGGACGTCCAGCCCAAGCTGGCTCTGGGGCTGAACATCTGGGGTCTCGAAGAGAAGTGGACGGTGCTAATATTTGATAACTTAGCATTAACAAGGCTCTCTCCCTTCTCCCTCCTCCTATTTGGTTATTTATTCAAGCCTTTATTAGTCTGTAAACATGAACTGCACCCGTAATTTCATCCTTGGTGCTATGAGACAGGTCAGGTACTTCCTGCCTTTGCTGTACTGTGCAGACGTTCTGCCCACGCGTCATCAGATGTGAATGACTTTTCCAGTCAGGTTCCAGCTTCGTTGTCTCTTTCTTAGTTGCCTGGTTGTCTTGTTTATTTATTTAAAAGGTCATGAGACCATGAAGTTGTCATTTTGTTTTATGTCCCGTTCATATAGCACCTCGCACTTCATACGCACTCAGTATTTCCTTAGTGATTGGGTATTTTTTCATGCTTCCCTCCAGTGAAAAGTGCACCTTTGAAGTTTGTTGGAAATATTAGTAACAATACAAGGAAAGCCATTAAGTATAAAATATTCATGTATTTATGAATCCATGACCAAATTAAATATGAAACCTCATATAAAAAGAGTGTGGGTTTGTTGTTTTCTCCGCGTCCGTCCTCCATCCTCTGGAACAGCCCGGAGTGACATGAGTCCTGGGCTGTCCATTCTCGCTGTGGGGCTCGCTCCCTCCTTTCCCCGGACGCTTTCATACTCGCCCCACATGGCCGGGTTCCTGCTCCGACTGAATTTCCCAGTGTCAGCGCCACGGGGGACTGGAATCATAGCCCCTCCTCCCCTCTCCTCCATGCCCTTCCCTGGGAGAGGGACCCCCAGGCCTGGCCTGCCCCTCTTCCCCCCCAAGTGGTGTCTCTGGGTTACACCTGCGCCTCCTGGGCCACCCTCACTTTCTCCCCCCCCTGGCCAGGGCTCTGCCCTGCAAAGTCATGGACTCCCACTTCCCCTCCTCGTGGACTTCAGGCCTTGGTTCCTCTCACCTACAGCTCCTGGGAGACCCTGGCTCCTCTTGTTTCCTTCCCCAGAGCAAAGGTGCCCGGGGCAGAGCTGTTCCCCCATACACTGCCCGCCCTGCCCCCGCATTGCTCCTCAGCCTCCTGAGGCCAGAGACTGGCCAGCAGAGGGCAGCACGCCACCAGCATACCCAGCAGCAACCAGCATACCCAGCAGCCACCCTGCAGGACTTGGAGGGGAGGCAGCCAGGGCCTTGGGCTCTCAGACAGCATGGGTCACAGCCACTCAGCCACCTCCTGCTTCTTCTTCTGACGAAGACTTAACCTGAAATCTCTCGGTCTTTGGCGCCACGGGGTTGTTACAAAAGTTTCCTTGGTTTCAAGTTTGTCCTCTCCCAGACCTGAAGCCTGGCTGTGGTGGGACCCACTCCGGGGCCTGGCCCTAAAGCCACTCCCTCCTCCGGCCAGGCGGCTCCGCAGCTCTGAGCCCGGAGCTCAGTGCCTCTCCGGCTCCACCCTCTCCAGAGGGACTCTGTCTTCTGTCTAGAAAGGATGTGGGAGTGAAATAGGACCATCGCGGCCCAGCTTCTCCCGTGGGGCTGCAAGTGCTCTCCTCATCCTCCTCTTCTCTGGAAGACCCTGGAGCTGCCCCGGCTCCACCCTCCCTTCCTCGTCCCCTTTTATCCCAGACCAGCACTAAGGGAGGTCCTGTCCTAGGAGCCTGCATCTCCGAGATTCCTATTCCCCGGTTAGTGACCTTTCTCCTGGCCCTTGACCCCTACCCCAACCCGCCCTCCAAACACATCTTGTGGGGTCACCTCTGAAGGTGAGGAGGGTAACCTGCCTCTCATCATGGGCAACAGTAACCATCCAAGACCACGG